AAGCTGCACATTTTACTTACGAACTCCCTAAACTTCTTAGTCTTGGAATGTGTATAGGGATACATAATTTCTGGTTGTCGCTGAAATATTTCACTTGGAATTTAGCTTCTTTCTTTCTTTCTTTCTTTCTTTCTTTCTTTCTTTCTTTCTTTCTTTCCTGTTCAAGGATGGGGTTTAAACAACAAGGGGAGGCGTTGCCTCCAGTAGCAGTTGATGGGGCAGGAAGCTGCTTACCTGACTTCCCTTCGGGGCAGCGAGGTCAGCACAGTGCAAATGCATTGGCAGGAAAACCCAATTGACTCCGGCAGATATGTTTGCACTGCGCCAACTCTACCTTCACCTCATTCCTCTCCCTCCTGGTGTGCCACAACTATGGTAGTGACAGGAAGTCGCTGCCCCAACTGATACTGGTTGCCTCCATGTCCTGCCATCTTGTAGGCATCTTGTGGGCCTCTGCTTACAAGAGGATGCTGAATTAGACGGTTTCTTTGATCCAGCAGGACATTTCTCATATTCTCATGTTCTCATGATGGGAGGAAAGCAGGAAACATAAAGGATTCCAGTGCAATGCAAAGCATGTCTATGGAGAAGTGAGCTTTATGTAATTCAGTGCGGCTAACTCCCATACGAATATAGGAAGCTGCCTTGTACCAAGTCAGATCATTGGTCCATATAGCTCAGTATTGGTCCATATAGCTCAGACTGGAAGCATCTTTCAGTCAGGGGGTACCCCCAGCCTTACCTAGAGATACTAGGGATGAACCTGGGACCTTCAACATGCACGTAGATGCTCTATGATTAGCTTTGTCCCTTCCCTGGGCACATGTGTGCAGGATTGCAGTCTTTGAGGTCCAGTTATAGAGGCTGAGTTGGTGTGATGTGGCCCATCTGAAAAGGTGCAGTGAACACCCCTCATGTGCATACTTGGCTACTATCCTAACAGAAAGCAGAACTAGGTTAATGCAAGTGTGAATCGTGATGGCTGCCTTAGATCTCATTTTAGGGAATCACCTACTGTACTATTATAAAGCAATTATAAAGGAGGTGCCTTGAAGTCATCACAATATTAATTTATTGATATAATTACATCGTAGCAAAGTCACTCAGGTATGACTTATTTTGAGCCTGAGCTGAAACATCCAAGTGGCAGCCTCTTCCTGGTTGTTAACATGGACATGGACTTTTCTTAGTCAACTGCCTTTGGAAAAGATCCTTGAGGAGTGGTACCAGAGTACTGACACATCTATGATACCAAACACTCCAATGTTTTATATTGTAAATCACCCTGTGATCCTTGGATGAATGACAGTATAGAACATATTATTATTATTATTATTATTATTATTATTATTATTATACCTCTAATTTTACTGAGATTTATAATAGATTTAAAATAGTTCAGAGCCAGTCCTTACTTTACCTATGGGGCAGTGGTGTGAAGATGGGGGGAGCAATGGGTCCCATGTTGTCACATGTCTAAAGAAATGATCAAACTGTTGGTGTGTATTAAATTTAACACACAACCCCCCCAAAGAGGATATGTCTGAACTTACGAGTTACATGAAGTTCTGAAAGGTGTCACATCTAGGAAGCCTGCCAAAAGTTGTCAGACAAGTGACAGTGGCATTGTTCAGGATGTTCAAGATTCTTTTTGTATCATGATAAACAGATGACAATGTCATGTCAGTGCTGTTAATGTGTAGTGCCTGACAAGTGAGTTCTTAAAAGATAAAACTGGTGGGAATAAGTTCTGGAGACCACAAGAGAATATACAACCAATCTGTAATGCTGTCATGCATGTTTTGCAAGATGACAGTGGTTTCCCATGATGGTTCTGAATATGAACCATGGAAATGGCAACTCACAAATAAGATTTGATGCAACAAACTCAGGGAAGCAATTTATTTACCTGGTAATATTTACTTTTGCTCTCTCTCCAATACATCATTGTAGGCTGGGCAATGGAATTTGTTGCAGTGTTTTGTCACTTGATTCCAGCTTCCCTTCAGTGAGAAAGACTTTCCAAACAATGTTAGTTCTACAGTGAACAAACACATTCTGAACCTATGCATGGGCTGAGCATATTGTAAAACAGGGATGGCCATCCTCTCTACTCTTGGATGGAGGAGTCTGGAAGTGTCTTTTGAAGTCCAAACTGACCTTCTCATAGGTGGTCAGACTTCAGAATAATGTTGCCACCATGTAACAGCTAAAGTCTCACAATGATGAAGCATGTATGTTTGGATCCTACCTACCAAACTCAAAGGATGATGCAACATTGAAGAATAGAATCTCACTTTTAGTGCTGTGCCAAAAAAAAATCTCCTACATTTCATGACCACTATCCATCAGATAACGAGACAAAGAATTGCATTTGAAAATGATCAAAGGGGAGTGTGTGTGTGTGTGTGTGGTGTCAAACGGTGTCCTTTCATTCATTCTACAAATAAGTTTTCCAGCAGTCTAACCTTTGTCAGTGGCCAGGCTTCCTCAAAAGCACATGATGTCCTCAATTGAGCTTTCCTGTAAACATGGGAAGGTAGAGAGGCTGTCTGCTTAGTGCCTGATAGTTCATTATTATTAATTTAAAGTGGAGTATTTCTAAAATATATGGGGTTTGGGGTTTTTTTAAAAAAAGAAACTAACAGGAAGAACTTCCTTTAAAAGTAAAATCGGTGTACCAAAGCAAGACACTGAGTAGCCAGCGTCCCTGGAATCCCACATTTCATTTAAAGTTCAGACATCACAAAGTAACTCATTCCATGGGCTTTTTCAGATCAGGAAGCAATGGCACCTGGGGAGGCTGCAATGCACTGAAAAATGTTTAATGGAAAGCAAAATTTGCACCACCACTACCCTTTGTCTATGGCAGTGATAAGGTCAGTTCAACCCTGCCTCCACTGAAATTCTAATGGAATTGTATAGTGCCCAAGGATGAGGCAGAAAAATGGTAACCTCTTTTGCAGGAGAAGAAAATATTATTAGAAATTAGATGACAGGTTTTGACATAGCACTGATCTCTGTTATATACAGTATTTTGAAAATCATTTTCTTTTCCTTGTAAGCAGAACTGTGGGCAAATTGCCACATCTTGTTTAAAAATTGGAAAGACCAGATCAACTTGCTTAAGAGCTCCAAAGGGAATTGGTGAGTTGATTGCATAGTCACATTGAACAATTTTAGCTCATCATTTTATAAAGTTTTTATTCTGCTGGTTTCACCTAGTGTCTGCAGTATATTAGAATGCTGGTTTTAATTGTTTAATGCAAGTTGATTGCTGTGAGCTTCACTGTTCTCCCTTTGGAGAATAAAGCTTGGTTATAAAATTTGAAATAATAAATCAATAAAAATTGACTTCCATTTCTCTTTCCAATAAAATACCTAACTTCTCCTGAAAATAAGATTCTGGTTGTTTAGCTACAGAAGATAATTATCTTCTACTCAGGAAATATTATCTTGACCACCTGGATTCCAGGAAATTCAGCATAATTCACCATGGACTTTAGGAACCCAGTTTTGTCTAATCCAAGGATGGCTCTCCAGGTATTGTTGGACATCAGCTAAAATTATCAGTCCCAACAAGCATGGCCAGATAATGGGGGAGAAACACTTTTGATATATTGCAGGAATAAGCAGATGTTTTATACAAAATCTTGATTTTAGGCATCTGATGTATACAGGCATGTGTCACTGAAAGAACAAAAATCTAGAGGAGGCTGATTTTCACTCATTCAAAGGAAGATATTTCTGCTGTGTTCAAAACTGTGTGTTATCTAATCAGTCATGTATCTCAATTTTGCAGAAATGAGAATGTCCAAACATTATACTGGTGCAGTTTCTTGAAATATTTGTTATATAGGGATGGAGAAATCTTGTATGTAATTTACTGTTTTGAACCACCCTGTGATTGTCAGATGAAGGGTGGTATACAAATTTAATAAATAATTATAATAATTTAAGATTCAGCCTTTGGTTTGAAATCTAGATCTTATTACAAAAACATATTTACTCACATAATTACAGTGTCTCCCCTCCCCACCCCACAATGGCCAGTTCACTAAAACACAAACTTTTAAATTCAAATGTTAAATCTCTTAATTAAAAATTGGATTTTTTTTTAATGAACAGAGAAATCCTATAATCCAATTATGCCGGGAAGAGAGACATGTCACTGTTACGCTCATTCAATCATACATTTATGAGATTTATTTTTAAGATTTCTTACTCACTCTTCATCATAAGGTGCCAGGGCCAGCTACAACAATAGAATATAAAATTATATTAAAAACCATTACAATGTTCAAACTCATAAAACTGTTCCAAATGGAGCAGAAAAGTATCTATTTACCAAAAGTGGTGAGACCCACAAAACAAAATACCTTCTATAGTCCCTTGCTCCATGACCCGTCATCTGTGTTATGGTCTTCCTTTTCATATACTGGTGGTAGTGTGCTTTGATTAGGTGTTTAGTAACAATATAGTGATGTATGGAAGTAAGAACTGGACCATAAAGAAGGCTGATGGCTGAAGAATTAATGCTTTTGAATTATGCTGCTGGAGGAGACTCTTGAGAGTCCCATGGACTGCAAGAAGATCAAACCTATCCATTCTGAAGGAAATCAGCCCTGAGTGCTCACTGGAAGGACAGATCGTGAAGCTGAGGCTCCAGTACTTTGGCCACCTCATGAGAAGAGAAGACTCCCTGGAAAAGACCCTGATGCTGGAAAAGATGGAGGGCACAAGGAGAAGGGGACAACAGAGGACGAGATGGTTGGACAGCGTTCTCTAAGCTACCAACATGAGTTTGACCAAACTGCGGGAGGCAGTGGAAGACAGGAGTGCTTGTCGTGCTCTGGTCCATGGGGTCATGAAGAGTCGGACATGACTAAATGACTAAACAACAACAACAATATATCCTATGCTTTGACATGGCAATATGGGAGGGGCGATTGCCAATATGGGAATGGCTATTTATTTTAATTTCTCCCCCCAACCATTGAAGTACAGTGGTGCCTCGCAAGACGAAATTAATTCGTTCCGCGAGTTTTTTCGTCTAGCGAATTTTTCGTCTTGCGAAGCACGAAATCCCATAGGAATGCATTGAAATTCAATTAATGCGTTCCTATGGTCAAAAAAAGTCCAATCAAAGCCAAATTCGGTACAACAAGAGTTTATTAACTGCTCTTTAAAGTCACACATACTTTAAAGAGCATATCAAAAATTGAAGGAACAATAAATTAAGTTTCTAAACATGACAGGAAAAAGGGTACATTACATTTTCTAAGACTCTGGGGGACCACTCGAAGAAGGTTCCTCTTCCACTCTTTGCTTCTTGCTGAGGAACCTGTCCATGGTCTGCTGCTTCATCCGCCGTTTCAGCAGCTCCCTGAGAGGCGACATGACCGTCGTATCAAAAATGTTCGCTTGGTCATGTGCCACGTGCTTGTCAGGGTGGTGCCGCTCTGCAAAAGCCTGCACCTCATTCCACTTCTGGCAAATGTCCCTCAGTTCTTTGGAGGACAGCCGTTCCTCAGTTGCTTCCTCCTCTTCCAGCGAGGCCTGCTCCTGCGCAACCTCTGACTGCAGTGCAACCAGCTCCTGGGTGGTCAGCTCGTCGTCGTGCTCCTCCACCAGCTCGCAAACGTCCTCCTCTGTGACCTCCAGGCCCAAGGTCCTCCCCAAGGCAACAATGTCCTGCACCACTGTCGACTCTGGTGCATCAGAGTCACTTGGTGCCACACAGTCCGGCCACAGGCTGCGCCAAGCGCAATTCAAATTCCTCTGGCTGATCCCCTTCCAGGCCGTGGTGATCATCTTCAAGCAGGTGACGATGTCGAAGTGGTCCTTCCAGAATTCCCGCAGGGTGATGGTGGTGCAATCAGTCACCTCGAAGCATCGCCTGAAAAGCTCCTTGGTGTAGAGTTTCTTGAAATTGGCGATGACCTGCTGATCCATCGGCTGGAGCAGTGGCGTGGTGTTAGGCGGCAGGAACATGATGTTGATGAAGCTGAACTCCTCCAACAAGTCCACCTCAAGGCCTTTAGGATGAGCAGGAGCATTGTCCATCAGAAGCAAAGCCTTCAGCGGCAGGTCATTGTCCAGCAGGTACTGTTTGACAGCAGGGCCAAAGGCAAGATTGACCCAGTCCACAAACAGCACACGTGTGACCCAAGCCTTGCTGTTGGATCGCCACATGACACTCAGCCGCTCCTTGTCGACCTTGTGTTTCTTGAAGGCCCGTGGGTTCTCCGAGTGGTACACCAGCAGGGGCTTGATCTTCAGGTCGCCGCTTGCGTTGGCACAGAAGAGCAGGGTCAGACGGTCCTTCATGGGCTTGTGGCCAGGCAACTTGGCCTCCTCCTGAGTGATGAAAGTCCTTTTGGGCATCCTCTTCCAAAACAGCCCGGTCTCGTCGCAGTTGAAGACCTGCTGTGGAACGTAGCCCTCCGTCTTCACAACCTCCAGGAACTCCAAGGCAAAGTCTTCAGCCGCAGGAACATCAGAACTGGCAGCCTCTCCATGCCTGACCACGCTGTGGATTCCGGATCTTGCCTTGAACCGGTCAAACCAGCCTCTGCTTGCCTTGAAGACTTCTGGCTCGGCCGAGGTTCCTGGCTGTTCCCGGATGAGGTCTGCGTGCAAGGCCTTGGCCTTCTCACAAATCACGGCCTCAGTCACTGTGTCCCCTGCACGCTGCTTCTCTTCTATCCAGATGAGGAGCAACTTCTCGACCTCCTCCAGAACAGCTGGGCGGTTCTTCACGATCCTGGTGACTCCCTTGGCTGCATCAGTCGCAAGGATCTTCTCCCTCATCTTCAGGATGGTCCCGATGGTCGATGGGTTCCTGCCGTACTCCCTGGCGAGGTCCGTCACACGCATTCCACCGTCGTGCTTCCGGATGATCTCCTTCTTCATCTCCAGCGTCACCTTCTCCTTCTTCCTCTCGCCGGCCTCCGCAGCAGCAGCAGTCTTCTTGGGTCCCATGGCAGCACAGCTGTTACCTTTGTAAAACTCAGAAAAGAAAAAAAATCAGCAATTCAAACCCACAACCAAGTCCTTGAATTCCAAACACCCAACCCAAAATCCAAAACCCCAAAAAAGTTTTAAAAGTTTAACTTACGAAATGGCTGCAAATCACCAAAGTCTTCAAAATCCTCAAATGGCTGCAAAAGAAATTTTGGGAAAGCTTTAAAAATCACCAAAGTCTTCAAAAACCTCAACTGTTCCCCCAGCCCCTCCCCAACTGTTGCAAACCCCTCCCCAACTGTTGCAAACCCCTCCTCAACTGTTCCCCCAGCCACCCAGCACACAGAAATTCAAAACCCAGAAACTTTTTCAAAAAAAAACAACATGGCCCAATGGTCACAAAAAATCATAAAAATTCAAAAAAGCACACAAGCTCCCAGATTCCTGCAAACCCCTCCTCAACTGTTCCCCCAGCCACCCAGCACACAGAAATTCAAAACCCAGAAACTTTTTCAAAAAAAAACAACATGGCCCAATGGTTACAGAAAACCATAAAAATTCAAAAAAAGCACACAAGCTCCCAGATTCTTGCAAACCCCTCCCCAGCTGTTCCCCCAGCCACCCAGCACACAGAAATTTAAAACCCAGAAACTTTTTCAAAAACAACAACATGGCCCAATGGTTACAGAAAACCATAAAAATTCAAAAAAAGCACACAAGCTCCCAGATTCTTGCAAACCCCTCCCCAGCTGTTCCCCCAGCCACCCAGCACACACAAATTTAAAACCCACAAACATAAACCAAAAAAACAACATGGCCCAATGGTTACAGAAAACCATAAAAATTCAAAAAAAAGCACACAAGCTCCCAGATTCTTGCAAACCCCTCCCCAGCTGTTCCCCCAGCCACCCAGCACACAGAAATTTAAAACCCAGAAACTTTTTCAAAAAACAACAACATGGCCCAATGGTTACAGAAAACCATAAAAATTCAAAAAAAGCACACAAGCTCCCAGATTCTTGCAAACCCCTCCCCAGCTGTTCCCCCAGCCACCCAGCACACAGAAATTTAAAACCCAGAAACTTTTTTCAAAAAACAACAACATGGCCCAATGGTCACAAAAAATCATAAAAATTCAAAAAAGCACACAAGCTCCCAGATTCTTGCAAACACCTCCCCAGCTGTTCCCCAATCCACCCACCACACAGAAATTCAAACCCAGAAACTTTTTTCAAAAAAAACCAACATGGCCCAATGGTCACAAAAAATCATAAAAATTCAAAAAAAAGCACACAAGCTCCCAGATTCTTGCAAACACCTCCCCAGCTGTTCCCCCATCCACCCAGCACACAGAAATTTAAAACCCAGAAACTTTTTTCAAAAAACAACAACATGGCCCAATGGTCACAGAAAATCATAAAAATGCAGAAAAAAACCACACAAGCTCCCAGATTCTTGCAAACCTCTCCCCAACACCAAGTCCTTGAATTCTAAACACCCCAACCCAAAATCCCAAAAACCCAAAAAAGTTTTAAAAGTTCAACTTACCAAACAGCTGTAGAAGAAGTTTTGGAAAAGCTTCAAAAATCCAGCAAACTCTTTAAAAAGCTCAGAAAGGCCACCACACCGCGTGCAATGTGTTGCTCCTCGAGGTCAAGTCGCAACTGCACCTCTTCAAGCAATGCACCCTGGGTTTTAACGGTTTTACGAAAAAGGAAACAAACTGCAAGACGTTTTCGTCTTGCGAAGCAAGCCCATAGGGACATTCGTCTTGCGAAGCAACTCGAAAACGAAAAAACCTTTCGTCTTGCGAGTTTTTCGTTTTGCGAGGCGTTCGTCTTGCGGGGCACCACTGTAAATCATAGAGGAATTCTTTGTTCCAGGTCTGGTGTAAATTTGTACCATCACTGGTCACTGTGAGTGGAAGAGATATGGGATGTAACCTAAGTGTGGTCTTTCTTTGTACTGCCCCTATCCTGCCTACAACTCCATGGCCTATAGAGTCATAGAATCGTAGAACTGCAGAGTTGGAAGGGATTCTCAAGGAGCATCTAGTTCAAAACCTTGTGATGCAAAAATCTCAGCTAGATCATACATCACAGATGATCTTCCAACCTCTGCTTAAAATCCTCCAAGGAAGGAGAGCCCACCACCTCTCGTGGGCGTCCCTTCCACTGTCAAACAGCTCTTACTGTCAGAAAGTTATTCCTGATGTTTAGTTGGAATCTCCTTTCTTGTAACTTGAAGCCATTGGATCCGATCCTATCCTCTGGAGCAAGAGAAAACAAATTTGCTCCATCTTCCACGTGACGACCCTTTAGTTGTTCCCCTGGCATATCTTCAGTGGTGGAATAGGTCTACTGGTGGAGTATTCTGCTATCATATCTATCGTGGTGGAGACATGTCTCACATATCACTGCTGCAGTGGGCCTTTCACCAAAACCACCATCATAACCCCCAAGTATAGCATTGTGCCATGAGATTTCGACATGTAAATATTTACTTGGCATAAATGTATACTAAGGTTACTTAGTCTCCTTCCACGATGGAATGATCCTTTCCTCTTCACATACAAACACAGGTCCTTGCACCCTCAAAATCTGCTGTGGGGTTTCCCCCAATCCTTCAGAGCATATTTGGGGAGTCAGAGGCACAAGAGGTAAGGAGAGGGATGGGAAGTTCTATTGTATAAGTCGAAGTCATTCCACTCATGCAACAATTTCATTAAATTCAACCCTGAAATTTGTTTCTCTTTCTAGTAAGAAAAGGTTTAGTGCTCTCCTACAGGCCAGTGCTAAGCAATATACTGCACTACTTAACTTCTGCATGTTAAGACATATTTAGGCATTTCAGTATGTCCAAGATTCTCCATATTAGATTAATAAAGATGGGATGTGCCTTGCTACACTTTTATTTGTTAGTGTGCTTGCAATTACTCCTGGTTCTCCAAGGACATGGCCTGATAGATGATGTTGCAGGGAAACAAAATACAAGTTTTGTTATTCTCAGCACCTTTTTGCATCTTAATGAGCCTGAGAAGAGAAAGGAGGGTGGGGGAGGGAGAGGCAGGGAAGAAAAGAGACAAAGTGAGAAGGTTAAGCTGAAACCAGAGTGCTCCAGGTTTGCCTCTAGGCCGCTCATCAGGAACCTAAGCCCATAACAATTATATTGTTTGTTACTGAAATAATGAAAGGGAGTAATTAGAGTGATGCTGTTAAAATTACCTGCTCTTTGTAATATATGCTTCCTAAATTAGTTTGGCAAGTGTGCTTTGTAATAGTCCGTATGAAAC